GAACAGACTTGAACAGACTTGACTTGGCATGAACAGACTTAACTCACCAACAGCAGGTTACAACATCAATACTCGACCAAGAACAAAGGCAACATAAGGGCTATTTATATCAAACAACAAGGGTCACTTGACAAGAACCAACCAATGAGAGACAGGACACATGACTAACACAACCAATGAGAACATGACACATGAACCAAAGAACCAATAGCAGGATAACATGAGGGCAAGGGAATCACATGACTAGACAGGGACCATGACTAAACTCCAAAATAAAAGACATGAGAGCAATGAACATGAAACCCAAACCCCACGTTACATGTAGATCGCTGTCTGTTTTGGTCCACACCGTCTCATGACTGTTCATAACTATATGACGCTTTGTTGAATTGGTGGTGAATTTGTATGAATGACGAAGCATTGAGGGTCAGGTTTAGGGATGGGCCTTCATGATTACTGTTTTATTAGACAAATCATATGTCAAATACAATTCAAACAGCAAACTTAATTGATCAAAAACACAGTAAAAATTATGAAATATTATTACAATGTAAAACAGCAGTTTTCTATGTGAATCTCTGTTAAACTGTAATGTATTTCTGTTTTCTTATTAACTTTTGAACAGTAGTGTATGTTATTACTGACTAAAATCTTGACATCCTCCTTTGCTCTTCTTGAGTTCATGACACTAGCAGTAATGACTGATTCATCAACAAATAAATTATTTCAAGTTTTCAGTGAATCATTTGATCTGCTGCACAAAACAATGATTTGTTTATTGTGCTGCACAATATTTTTGTGGAAACCGTTATACATTTTATTTTTCAGGATTCACAGATGAATAGAAAGTTCAGCAATTATTTGTTGAGCATCGAGTGCCTCGGCTCATGTGTGTGTGTGTGTGTGTGTGTGTGTGTGTGTGTGTGTGTGTGTGTGTGTAGGTCCGTACATCCGCCACAGACGATGGCACCACAGATCCTGAAGCCTGACGGAGGAGAAGCCCCGTGAACTTTAACACAGCCACCGTCGCTCTCGAATGTAAAGTGTGCTGGCCGATTCCCAGTGATGGACTACGGAGATCCACTTTCTTTGTCATTTGGATGCACTGTACTTTTCATATTGTATTTTTGTTGTTGATTTTCCAAAAAAAAGTATTTTTGATCGCGTCATTTATTTGTTTTTTTATTCTGTTTGTATTTAATTTTAATTTCAGTGTTTTATTTATACAGTGACCGGATAAATATGTAATTTAACTGTTTGAATTAATTATGCAATTTTTTTTATTTTTGGATACTGCATCCATTTCACTGAGATTTCAATCTGTCTGATTAAGAGATCAGATCAGCATCAAATCACATTTTTATAGATTTTTTAAAGCAAGTCATTTGAAGCAGTGTTTGTCTATTGAATAAAACAATTTTTTTTCCAAATTTGATCTTTAAATACTTATTATTTTCATATGTGACCCTGGACCACAAAACCAGACATAAGGGTAAATCTTTTGAATAAATAAGCTTTCCATTGATGTATGGTTTGTTAGGATAGGACAATATTTGGCTGAGATACAACTATTTGAAAATCTGGAATCTGAGGGTGCAAAAAAATCTAAATATTGAGAAAATCATCTTTAAAGTTGTCCAAATTAAGTTCTTAGCAATGCATATTACTAATCAAAAATTAAGTTTTGATATATTTACGGTAGGAAACATACAAAATATCTTCATGGAACATGATCTGTACTTAATATCCTAATGATTTTTGGCATAAAAGAAAAATGGATAATTTTGACCCATACAATGTATTGTTGGCTATTGCTACAAATATACCCCAGCGACTTAAGACTGCTTTTGTGCTCCAGGGTCACATTTTGTGCTGTTTATTTAGAAAGACTGTCCTGTGGTCAAGCAGAAGGTGAATGTTGTGTGTGCTGATGATGTGCCGTCAGTGGGAATCTGAATGGAGAGTTTGCACCTCTCTCTCTCTCTCTGAGCTGGCATGAGTTTGGCTTGTTTTTCTGGACTCGGTGAGGACTGGCACTAACACAGCATTACATCAGCTGCCAGCACATCATTTACCAACAGCACGCCTGTTTCCCCTCACAGAGGAATGTTGTGGGAACAAATCATGTAAACAGTGATAGCTTTTAATATGAATTTATTGCACATGTCCTGGCTTCACATTGGTTTGATGTTATCATGGGTCTTTTTAGCTTTTTATTTGAAATGTACATTTCTCATTATTTATTGTAACACAAAATACGTTATAATTTTATTTTATACTTTATATTACACTTTCATACTATTAGTTTAGTTTTTTATTATGCTCCAAAAACAATTACAAGACATAACTTAAAATTTGACATCATTTTTGAATGCCACAAAATTTGGAGCAATTTAAATCGCTCAATGCTGTAAATCAGTCCGCTCTTTCAATGAAACCGGAACTACTTTCATATCACACCGCAGACTCGCTCTTTCTTTCAAACAAACGAAACTTTCACCAAATTGCATCGCAGTTATTGTTTGTAGTGAAAATGACCTTGGAGGAATTCAGTATTAATATAACTGTCATATTGTAGCAGTTTTTGTCTATGATTGTTTTTACAATGTAACGGACTATTTCTTTTAGCGGAAGCTTTAATGTACAGGTAAGATTATGCCTCCACATGCAGTGTGATAATGTGTGGAGTGGTCAGCTGTGCGTCAGCCCTGCTCTGTGATTGGCTCGTTAGGGTAATGAAGGTTAGGGTGACTTTATGTTCGCTGAGGATAAATATAGCAGCGGTTTCATATGGCTGAGCTCTAGCTGTGCACATGTGAAGCACATTGCAGAATCAGTGTGTTTCCTGACGCTCTTTCATCTGTTTCAGGCTCAATGCCACAACAAAGACCAACATTTCCATTGTGAGTATTAATCACAGCGAAGCTTCCGGCACTCAACTTATAAAGTAGCTCATTAAAGACACTTATTTGCCAGAAAAAGTCATTACAGTCTCCAGTTTTAGTTTAGCTTGGAACGCCTACTGTTATTATCTCAAGTTATATCGGTTATGTCTGGCCTCAAGAGGCTGTCATTATCTTGATAAACAGTGATTTGAATGTAAGGTGTCCTGCCCATCAGAGCACAACAATAGCCTTCAAAGCAAACAGCAGCTATATTCCAGCAGAAACACAATCAAACCTTTTAATATAACGCTGCATGCACTCACCTCCAAAGCCATAGATATGATCTTCTTCTCTTGCATATCTTTGAATATTTCTTCTGGTTTTTATTTTAAAGTGGCAGGTCGTGACAAACCAGTGCTGATCTGAGGAGGTCAGAGATGGTATTTTCCGCTGGAGGATGTGTTTGGGAAACAGTGGCCGTCTGTTACTTTTAAAAGTAATGCATTACAATATTGTGTTACTCCATAAAAAGTAACTAATTGTGTTAGTTACTTTTTTTTTTTGCAAAGTGATTGTTATCCATCTATCTATCCATCTATCTGTCTGTCTATCTATCTATCTATCTATCTATCAACTATCTATCCATCTATCCGTCTATCTATCTATCTATCTATCTATCTATCTATCTATCTATCTATCTATCAACTATCTATCCATCTATCTATCTATCCATCTATCAACTATCTATCTGTCTATCTATCTATCATCTATCTATCTATCTGTCTATCTATCATCTATATCTGTCTATCTATCTATCTATCTGTCCGTCTGTCCATCTATCCATCTATCCGTCTATCTGTCTATCATCTATTTATCTATCTATCTATCTGTCTATCTATCTATCTATCATCTATCATCTATCTATCCATCTATCAACTATCTATCCGTCTATCTATCTATCATCTATCTATCTATCTGTCTATCTATCTATCTGTCCATCTGTCCATCTATCCATCTATCAACTATCCATCTATCCGTCTATCTGTCTATCATCTATCATCTATCTATCTATCCATCTATCAACTATCTATCAACTATCTATCAACTATCTATCTATCTATCAACTATCCATCTATCTGTCTATCTATCCATCTATCCATCTATCAACTATCTATCCATCTATCTATCTGTCTGTCTGTCTGTCTGTCTGTCTGTCTATCTATCTATCTATCTATCTATCCATCTACCATCTACCTATCCATCTATCAACTATCTATCCATCTATCAACTATCTATCTATCTATCTATCATTTATCATTTATCCTATCTATCATCTATCATCTATCTATCTGTCTGTCTATCTATCTATCTGTCTGTCTATCTATCTA